TAAGTAAAAGGGAGAAAGACGTGGGGTTGGAAGACATACATTACACTCACGCACACTTATTACAGTTGTGCCCTCGCGCGGAGGGTCCGAATAAATAATACAGTCCCGAATAAAAGAATATTACAGTCCAAATATTACAATCCAAATAATGTACAAATTCCTAATTAATTAACAAATTAACTAAGAAAACTGTAAAACTAGCGTGCAAGCTAGGGACTGCCTTGCTTCTGATGAATGATGCATGTCTAGGCTGCCTTGCGCGGAAATCCACCGGGATGTCCCACTTAACCTCTGTTTAGCAGTTATTCTTGGAAAGCGTGCCAAACTCCGAAAAGTTGCTGATTCTTCATTTTGCTGCAACAGAGAGCAGGAAAGGGGCATAGCAATGTATTTTCACAGATATATGCATGCCTCGATCCTCGTGCCACCAATCACGCATATCGATGCTTGATGGCAGAGGAGTCGAAATGTGCAATTTAATATGGGATGAATGCATGTGTAAACACAACAAGAACAAGACCTAACTCCATCATGGATGATCCGGAATGTCGGTGACTAGGGAATTGAGACACGTTCCGTCACTCGGAGTACAAAACGCACCCCGTTTCCCGTGCCCGGGCTAACTTCTATCCCGAACACGATGCAATATGCATGATATGCATGAATGCAACTAAGATACAGCCTAGAATGCCCGATGCTATGAAAATGAGATGTCTCGAAATGCGTGCACACGGGCACACAAACCGAGAAAATGACATACGCAATGCGATCTAAGATACAACCTAGTATGCACTATGCTATGAAAATGAGATGTCTCGAAATGCGTGCACACGAGCACGCAAACCGAGAAAATGCATGAATGCGATCTAAGATACAACCTAGTATGCACTATGCTGTGAAAATGAGATGCCTCGAAGTGCGTGCACACGGACACGCAAACCGAGGCAATGGCATACGCAATGCAAATGACATGGAAACATGATATGGGCTTATACCAACATGAGGGAGCCTCAGCCACACTCACATAGGATGCCGATGGATGAGAATGAAGTGCCTCGAAATTCGTGCACACGGGCACGCAAACCGAGGCAATGGCATACGCAATGCAAATGACATGAAAACATGATATGGGCTTATACCAACATGAGGGAGCCTCAGCCACGCTCACATAAGATGCCAATGGATGAAAATGAAGTGCCTCGAAATACGTGCACACGGGCACGCAAACCG